CCTCGCTCGAGCCATCCTCCAAATCTGCTCCGACAGCGAAGGATGTTGGGACAGACAAAAAGCAAACCGTTTGAGACATCCCCACAAAACGGCCGCGAACGGGACCGTGTAACACCCCTCGGCGGCTCCCTTAGGGTGGTAAAAATGAGCGCCTCGCTCGAGACATCCTCCAAATCTGCTGCGAAAGCGAAGCATGTTGGGACAGAAAACAAGCAACCCGCTTGAGACATCCCCACAAAACGGCCGCGAACGGGACCGTGCAATACGTCTCGGCGGCTCCCCTTAGGGACGTGAAAATGAGCGCCTCGCTCGAGCCATCCTCCAAATCTGCTGCGACAGCGACGGATGTTGGGACAGAAAACAGGCAAACAGCTTGAGACATCCCCACAAAACGGCCGCGAACGGGACCGTGCAACACTTCTCGGCGGCTCCCCTTAGGGACGTGACAATGAGCTCCTCGCTCGAGACATCCTCCAAATCTGCTCCGAAAGCGAAGGATGTTGGGATAGAAAACAGGCAAACCGCTTGAGACATCCCCACAAAACGGCCGCGAACGGGACCGTGCAATACGTCTCGGCGGCTCCCCTTACGGACGTGAAAATGAGCGCCTCGCTCGAGCCATCCTCCAAATCTGCTCCGACAGCGAAGGATGTTGGGACAGAAAACAGGCAAACCGCTTGAGGCATTCCCACAAAACGGCCGCCAACGGGGCGTGCGTGAGTCTCAGCATGAGTAAGTCTGAGTAGGAGTATGTCTGAGTATGAGTAGGTCTGAGTATGAGTCATTTTGTGTGTGAGTAAGTCTGGGTAATTATGAGTAAGTCTGAGTGTGAGTCAGTCTGTGTATGAGGAAGTCTGGATATGAGGAGGAGAGGGGAAGAGAAGGAGAAGAAGGAGGAAACATCGGCGGCGTCGAATAAATAAGAAGAACCCCATCTTAGGATATGGAACATAAATTTGATAATACTGATAATGCGAAGAAACATACTCATCATACTCATAAGAGTATCACTAATAACAAGCTGAATAATAAGAAACATGCGAATACTATTAATGATACCACTAATAAGGATATCAATCATAGTAATACTTAATACTAACAATTATTATACTTAGAGGTGGAGGAAGAGGAAGAGGAGGAGGAGGAGGAGCAGAGGGGGGAGTCGGAGGACGAGGTGGAGTAGTCGGAGGAGTCGGAGGAGGAGTCGGAGGAGGAGTCGGAGGAGGAGTCGGAGAAGGAGGCGGAGGATGAGGCGGAGGAGGAGGTGCTAGAGGATGAGGAGGAGGAGGAGAAAGAGGAGAATATGGAGAAGCAGGATGACGAGGAGGAAATGGAAAAGAAGGGAAGGAGGAGGCATGGGGGGACGAAAGATGAGTGGGCGAATGAGGAGAAGGAGGGAGGGAGAGAAGGACGAAAGGCAGCAGGGAAGAATATTGAAGGAATAGAGCAGCAGGGTGGAGAAGGGACCAGCGGGGAGTGATCTTGGCTTTTGTTGGCCCAGCGAGCCCCTTCAACACAGTCTCCTGGCAACAAGTTCGGGCAGCGCGGCGGCGCAAGAGCCGCAGACCTCGGCCGGACGGAGGCGGCTGGGTTGAGCAGGGCCACGACGCGGCTGTGCTGGAACGGCATCAACGACGCAGCTCCTGCACAGTCAAGACGCTGAAATAAGGAACAGTTTGGGTTCGGAAGGGGCTCGATGTTCCTTAGATTCTTCCATGGCTGCTCCTCTAGCCCTCCTCGTGCACCCCAGCTTTTCTGGGGCCAGAAGGGGTCTTTGTTCGTTATTAAGCGTTCCTTATTTCAGCGGCCCGACTGTATGGGTGCGAGCTGGGTCGACCAAGGTTGCCCGCTGTCGCTGGTCACGATGGCCATCGCAATCGCTGGCGCCCTGGATGAGATTCAGGTCGCGCTGCAGGGGCCCTCGCCCTCATGCAACGTGTTCAGCTACTTGGACGGCGCGATGGTTCTGACCCCCCTGAACACGCTGCGGCCGCTGATCCGATGGTCGCCGAAATGCTTGCCTGGCATGGGCTGCAGGTCGACCAGCACACGACGCAGGCTTCGACCAAATATTCCAGCGCGGTCTCCCCTCCCTCTGCGGCCTGGCGCCGAGTGCCGTAAGTAATTTGCCTGGGCAACGCGGCACCGTTGCTGGGTCAGGAAGACGAGCGGATCACGCTTCTCCGCACGCATGGCCAGGTAGCACCGACGCACCGCTTGCGAGCCAACTGGAACCTCTCCCAGTGTGGACCGGTTCGACTGGGATATTTGGCTGCCTGGACGAGCTCGTCGGGGCTGCGTCAGACTGTGAGTAGCGCGTGCATGCCACCATGTGTTTCGAAAGCGGTGGCATTTTCTTGCCCCCATCCCAGGCCACTTCTCCCGCAGCATGCGCAGCGAGCTGGGCCTTCGTCCTGAAGGGGGCGGCGCGGCCGCTGGTATCCCGAGCTGGGGGGACTTTGGGGCCAATGCCCCCTGACGTACCCCCCCCGTGGAAGCTGACGCAGACTTCCGTGCCCAGTGGGCTGTGGACGGCGAGTTCGAGTGGCTGGAGTGCTTCCAGGAGCCGTCGTCATGCTGCAAGGCAGGCGGGGCCAGGCGCGTTATGCGGCCACCAGGATTCGACCGTTCGAGACGTTCGGGGAAAACGACCGTCTGGCACTTCGCGGCGCTGGCGTTACCGGAGCTGGCGTCTTCGTCCTGCCCTGCGAACAGGGCGACCCGGCCATTGTCGAGAAGCACTGCCTGGCCGCCTCCGATGCGATGTCTGACTGGATGGCGCCGTATGTCAACGCCGACGAGAGGATGGTGCAGTCTGCGGGGCCTGCGGCGCGCCATGGGACTGGCGCGGGTGGCGCGCGGGGTGTTGCTGGCACGACGGCATGCGGGATGGGCATGCGAAGTTTGACGCCAGCCTCACCAGCTCCACTGCGGCTACGGGACAGTTCGTGCCAGCATGGTACCGCGTCAACAGGCGCACCGGCGTGTTGGAAACGGCCAAGTTGGACATCGCAATTCGAGACTTCGACTTTGCCTCGGGGCGCGACGTCTAAAGTGATTGGATCATCACCTGCGAATGCCTTCCTTGCGTGGCAGCTCGGAGATGGTGCTCGGCGCCAGAACGGAAGGGAGGCCCGTCTGCCGCTTCGTCACGACCAGCACTGCTGCCGCCGCCACAGTCATCACCGCTGCAGCGTCCAACTCGCTGGGCCCGCCGCGCCCCGCGGCCCTTCGCGACCACGCTCGCGACCTTCGAGGCTGATGTCGAGACCGCGGCCGTCTCCATCGCGACGGCCACGACGACCGCGACGCCCACGACGGCCACGACAACCGCGACTATCGACGACGTGACAACCGACCCCAGTTTGCCCACGCCCTGCCTTCTCCCCTGCCCCCAGGTCGAAGGGAGGAGGCAGGAGAGAGGGAGGGAGAGAGGGAGGAGGAGAGCCATGCAACCTGTTCGTTTGCGTCCTCCGCCGCCGCCTCCGTCCTGTTGCCCTCCGTTTCAGCCTGCTCTTCTCGCGTCCTCTTGCTGCCGCTCTTCCGCTGTCTTCGCTGGCCTTTTCGGGCTCAGGCATTCCCAGGGCCTCTCCTGGCGGAGTCGTGAGGCTGGTCCTGGGCTGGCCTTGGGGCCGTCTTGGGGCCTTTCTGAGCGATCTGGGTGTGGGCATTGTGGGTGGTCTCTCCGGGCTGTGTTGAACCATTGTGGATATGGTATGGCGTGATGCTTTTCGATGCTTTCGGCATCCCACGGGCGTACCAGAGGTACCTCGAAGACTTAGGAGAAGCTTTTGAGGATTTTGGGGCTGTTTTGCGTGGTGCCTCGAGCGTCGGTGGATTCTGGGGCCGCCTTTGGGTTCATTGGCAGTCTGTGGTCGGCTGGTGGTGGCCCGTTTCGTCTTGGGCCAGTCTTGGGCCGTCTTGGGATCGTTAGGACTACCCTTCCCTGGATGCCTTCGGGAGTCCACCAGGAATGGGAAGCCCAGGGGTGCTGAGACCTTTTGCTGAAACTGAGGACCTCCTGGGATTCGCGTCGTGAGGGGGGCATGTCATGGCTTCGCAAACGCGTTGCAAATTCTGTGGCGGAAGCAAGGTTTGGCGATTCTTTCGTCAGGTGTTCCAGGCGCAGTTTCTTAGGTGTGGTCACTTGGCCCAGTCTTGCGCTGGTTGGTTGGCGTCCTGACGTCCTGCGGGGTCTTGGTCGGTCCCAGGGTCAGCTTGGGCCAGTCTTGTGCCGTCTCGTGACCTCACTTGGGTCATTCGGACCCTCTTGGGGGCTCCTCGTGAGGCGTTTTGCGGGCACTGCTGGATGTTGTTTTTTCGCGTTGTGCGGCGGAACATGGGAAGGCATATCTAAGCAAACAACATGTGTTTTGTGTTGTATGCCTCGCATGGGCCTCCTGTAGAGCTTGCTGGAAGCCTCTTAGGACCTCCTGTGGGCTCCTCGGGTGCGTCTTTGGGGCTGTCGGGTCTCTCTTGTGTTCTGTTGAGGTGCCTGGCAGGTTTTCGGGCTGCCTGGAGCCTTTTGGGCTTGGCTGCGTGGTATCGAAGGCGTTTGGCTGGTTCTGAATTCGAGAAGAGCGCTGGGGAACGCAGGGTAGGGGGTCGGGCTGGGGGTAGGGGGCGATCATCGCGGGGGCGAAGCTTTTCTGGGGGCAGTGGGTCGTGCCTGGAAAGTTACACACAATCCTTGCTGTGTCAGTCAATCGGTGACGGGTGCCCGCCGCCTCCCGGAGGCGAGCTGAGCCTGCAATCCTCACCTCCGCCCGCACTCTGCCGTCGCTTCGGAGAGCCTCGACGGTCTTCCTCGCTCCCGTCTCCACCCTTGCGCTGCAGATCTGCGACTCCTTGCAAAACCGCATCCCTAGGGGTCCCATCGACGCTGGGGTATCGGGCACCCCCGCGCGGGGGTTCAGACATTCCTCGAGTTCTGCACCCCAGCCGGCGCCTCAGACATGTGACCTGCAGGGATAGGGTTCACAAGTGGTTGGCTAACAGAGGTCACGGATGTCGTCGACGACCCTAAGCACAGCGGGCAGAAGCTCGTCCGAAGTCGCTGGTGGGCTCCCCTCGGCCACCCTTGGCGCGGTCGGTCTCGGAGGGAGCGTCAGGGGCCGCGCCGTGCTCGCGAGCGGCCGGGCGATGCAGCCCTCCCGGCATCTGTTCTCTGCCCTGGAGAAGGAGGAGGAGGAGGAGGAGGAGGAGGAGGAGGAGGTGGAGGAAGATGAGGAGGAGGAGGTGGAGGAAGTGAAGGAGGAGGAGGAGGAGGAGGAGGAGGAGGAGGAGGAGGAGGAGGTGGAAGAGGAGGAGGAGGAGGAAGAGGAGGAGGAGGAGGTCGAGGAGGGGGAGGAGGAGGAGGAGGAGGAGGAGGAGGAGGAGGAGGAGGAGGAGGAGGAGGAGGAGGAGGAGGAGGAGGAGGAGGAGGAGGCGCGATCGCCCGAGCCCGCCTTTTGTCGCACAGGGCGACCGAGGCGGCGCCCGTGCGTGGCGCGCTCCTTGAGGAGGCCCGTGCGCCCGCGCCACAGCTATCGGCCACGGCCAGGCAGTGGCAGGACGCTCGTGCAGCGCGTGGAGCCAGTTTACGAAACCTCGACCACATCATCCACAATCCGTGGGCCCGCCACCTTCGCGAGGCCAGGAAAGCGAGGCAGCTCGCAGCGCAGCGCGGCGTCCAGCTGCACGCGCAAAAGCAGCGCATACCCGAGCTCGAATGGGAATTGCACACACTGGAGGTGTGGTGGCAAACGAACCGTTGGCCTCTACAGGAAAGGGTTCCCGACCTCAATGATCTTATTTATGTATTGTAGTTACTGCGTGCACCAGGACAACTATGGCTACGAGGACAACGGCCCCTGATGCTTCTGGCAAGTCGCCCTGTGCGGGTGGGGCCCGCGGCTACCTGAGACAACAGTGCGTAATGGACAGGCCTCGCCAGCCAGTCGTCCCCACGCGGGGACTGTCGGCAGTGGCGTGCGTCCAGCGGGCTAGGGCGACCGCGACGCCCATGAGGCAACCTTGCTAGCGCAGAGACCCCCGATGATAAATTGGTTGTCCTGTGTGTCTCGTGCCCATGTACTACGGCGGACAATCGCATAGACAACCAGCACGGAGCCCTCCCCTCGACATGTCGGTCATCCAGGTCACCTTCTCCATGTTCGACGCCATCGAAGCCATTGACGCCACGGGCGGCCAGGTCGCCGTGTGATACTCGTCCGCCGAACCCGCACAGAAGGCAGCAGACCGCCTCCACGGCGCCAGACTGTGGAACCCAAGTGCTCAATGTCGCCATCGTGCGCCAAAGTGAGGACGCGCGACTATCCGTGGCAGCAGCGGCACACACCCCAGCGCAGCAACCCCTGATGTCTTCGAAGTCGTCCTGTGCAGGGGGGACGCAAAGCCACCTTGCCCCGCTGACGAAGACGGGGGCCCGCCCGGCGACCAGACCAGGCCGAGCAAACGCGCCCTGAAGACGGCCCGCACGATGGCCAGAAAAGCTGCAAAGGAGGCGGAGGAGACGGCGTTGAATCGGATGAGCCTCGCCGAGACCGAAGCTGCGACTGAACGCGTCACATCGCCGGATTGCCAGCGAACCTCAGGCGCCTGATGCCACTTCTCGGCATCCCCGGCCTGCGCCCCACGTGCGCCGCACCGTCAGCGGAAGACCCGCGCAAACCGCGGCCCATCTTGGCGCCCGCGCTCAGCCCCCCCCCGACCCTTCCTATTATCATCTCTCCTCTCGGCTCGCCATCTCGCCCAGCACTCGCGGCCCGTGTCGCCAGGCCACTGATGTAGAGGCGTGACTGTCCTTTGGGGGGGGGGTCGAGAGCACCGCGCTTCCCAGGCGGGTGGGACAACCTCGCGGGGTGCGAAAAGCAGCAGACCACGCTTCCCAGGCAGGCGGGGCCACCTTGGGCTCTGGCCTGAGATGGGTGCGGAAAGAAGAAGAGAAATCTGAGAGCCGGACCCCGCCCCAATGCCCCCGCCACTTCTCCCCACTCGCCACAACCCGGCTCGCCCCACCTACCCAGTGGAGGGGGGTGTGCTTCCCACCGCGCGGACAGGCCCAGGCCCGTGGGACGGGGCCGGGGGGGGGCACCAAAGGGAGGATGGCGGCAGGATGAGGATGGAGATGGCCGGAGGCGCAGCACGAGTACGAGCGACAGTACCGCAGGGCCGCCAATCCCGCCGAAGCCCCCTTCAGAGGGCCCCCTTTCTGGGGGGCTCCCTGGGGGTGCGTCGGCTGTGTTGGCGACCTTTTCTCTCCTCGTTCCCGTCCTCCTCCGTCGTGTCTGCTGCTCCCCCCGGTTCCTTCTCTCCTCTCTCGCTTCTTCTCCTCCTCTCCCTCCCTCTCTTCCTTTTCCTCCTGTCGCTCCTCCTCGCGTCACCCTTCCGTCGGACTCCCTCTCCTCAGGGGTCGCCCCCCTTTTGGCTGTTGTGCGCCCCGCGTTTACAGCTCCCGCCCCCCGCCTCCCCAAGCGATGCGCTGCTGCTGGGGAGGGGTGGGGGCGAGGGCTTCAGTCGTTCGACAAGACAGCCCGCAGTTTTGAGTCCTGAAGAGGAGAAGGAGTAGCAGGAGGAAGAGGAATCAAAGGAACAAAAAAACAAGGACGATGATGATGACGAGGAGGAGGAGGAGGAGCAGGAAGGAATGAAGGAAGGAATAAGGGATGATGGATCACTTGGATTTGGGGTGTGGGAGGGAGGAAGGAGGCAAGGCGGACTGGAGCGAGGAGGTGGAAAGAGAAGGAGACGGAACAGGATACTGAGGAACGAGGGAGGAGAGGATGGAACGAGTAGTGGGGTTTTAGGTGGATGAGTTTCAGGAGGAGCAGGGGCAGGAACAGGGCCAGCAGTAGGCCATTGTCCAGGTGGGCGATACTCTGGAAGATCGCCAAGAGAAGGAGGGAGGGAGGGAGGGAGGGAGGGAGGGAGGGAGGGAGGGAGGGAGGAGTGCGCACTTGGGATGAAGGTCGCGGGAGGAGGGAAAAGGGTGGAGGTGAAACGGATGGAATGGCGAGGTGGGAGGAAAACTGGAGAGGGAGGAGGGTGGAGGATGGACTAAAGGAGTAGGGGGAAAGGAAAGAAGGATGAGGATGATAATGGAAGGAAGAGGTAGGGGGCACAAAAGAGGAGGGCGAGGTGCAGGAGGTCGAGTGGGGGAGGGAGGAAGGAACGGCGGGGGAGGGGGTGATTGGGGGAGGCTAGGGGGGAGGAGTGCGTGGGAAGGTGGGATGGTGGGAAGGTTCAGGTTTCCGCCAATGATGCTCTCACTGCCGTGTCCCACCACGGGGGAGCACAGCTCCCGCCGCCTTTGGAAAGACGCCCTCCCCACAGCCGGAAGCATCCTTCGTAGCTTGTCGTCCATTCAGCACGGACGCCCACGGAGTCATCCCCCGCGGAGCCCCGAGCTCTGGGAGCGCTGTGGGGTGCTCTCTTCAACTTTGTGCTCTGCGGTGTGCACTCGTTGGAAGTGGGGGCTTCCCCGCAGGATGTTTGGGCACCTCGTGACAGGGGCACCTCTGTTAGCACGGCTGGGGCAGTATCGCTCTCGCATGGCGCCCTTGTCTCCGTACCCTTCGTCGTAACCATCTCTCTATATGCGGATATTATTGCAGTCGATGTTTGCTCACGCTGGCCTTCAGAACACCGCCGTGCCCCAGGTGGATTTGCGTGGAGGTGCTCAGGCGCCTCCCCACGCTCCCTCGGACAAACAAGTGAGCAAGTGCACAAACTTGCTGATGCGAGAAAGTTTTGTAGCAGCAGGAGCATCAGTTGTGGTAGTGGCAGTGCCCCCCTACATCTTCCCTTCTCTCTTTCTCTCGTCCCCTCCTCCCGTCCTGTCCTGTCCTCCATCCCTGCCTTCCTCCCGCCCTCCTTTTCTCCCTCCCTCCCTCCCTCCCCCCCCCCCTCCCTCCGTCCCCTTTTTTGCCCAGCCTGGGGGGCGTCTTGAGGCCTCACAGAAGGCGTTCTGGGCGAAGAAGGGTGCCAATGCAAAATGTATGCGCGCAGCTCTCCCTCGAGGAATCCGACCAGCCTCGTGGGCGCGTAATAGATTTGCTCAGCTATTGTACACGCCTTCATTCCGGCACTTTTTTGACTGTCAGGCTGGTGCCTTGTCAGAACGAGTAGGCACGATCTTTTGCACCGAGAGGGGCTTTGAAGAAGCGCACCGACAACGTCGCCAAGACGGTGTGAGCGGATGTGTTTGTAGCGGCACGGAGGGGAGTCGAGTCACCTTGGGGCCTCGGTGTTCAGCACGGGTGGGTGTGCGTGTGCGTGCGCGCGCGCGTGTGTGTGTGTGTGTGTGTGTGTGTGTGTGTGTGTGTGTGTGTGTGTGTGTGTGTGTGTGTGTGCGCGCGCGCGCGCGCGCGCGCGCGCGCGCGCGCGCGCGCGTGTGTTTGTTTGTTTGTTTGTTTGTTTGTATGTTTGTTTGTTTGTTTGTTTGTTTGTTTGTTTGTTTGTTTGTGTGTGTATGTGTGTGTGTGTGTGTAATTGCCTTCCATTTTCTCACGTCGTGGATCGGTTGGCCGTTGCATTGTGCCCGAGCAGCGCCTCTTTGTTTTGACCGACCCGTCTGCACTGCAGTGTTAGTGTTAGACGTATCCTTACGCTGCGCGTTACGGCGAAGTTCTTTCGCACTTAGCACCTCCATTTGCTGACCACGCCTGAGACTCCTCTGCGCCGCCGACTAAAGTGTGTGTAGTTGCTGGGCGTAGACGCGTGCGCCTCATTGTTTTCCGATCTTCTGCGCCTTGTCGCCGCGCGCAGGGCCGCGACGCCCCAAAAACATGTTTGTGTACGTATGTGTGGTATTGCGGTGTTCCAGCGGATTGTTGGGGGTATGCAGGACGCAGCATGCATATTTTTCTGGGGAGACAGGTCTCCGAACACGCCTCTTGCTCGGTCTCTGTGCGCAAACTTACCTGCACAGATCTGCGATGCTGGAGTATGGTGCTAGCCTGCTTTCGCACCAAACTCGAATTGCAGTCCAAAGTATTTCTCCCGCAGACTTGTTTGCAACGCGAACTCCCTCGACTGCAGCGCCTTGGACAGCCTGGTTGGTTGCTTACCGTTTTTTTGCCAGCGAAGTGTGTTCTTGAGTGCAAGCCTGAACGGACAAGCATCCCATGGTCTGTCCAGATGTATGCATACTGTTTGCGGTCATTAGAGGGCAAGCGATGTACTCACTCATGTACCCTCTTATGTTCATAGATTAGGTAGTCATATAGTAGTTATCCACGTACACACACATATATACACGTATGCAGCTAGTTGGATACATATTTATATATTGCGAGAGAGAGAGAGAGAGAGAGAGAGAGAACGAGAGAGAGAGAGATAACGACGTAACGAGATAACGAGAGAGAGAGAGAGAGAAATAACATTAGCCTGGCGGAGGACCCAACCATATGCAGTTGTGGATGCCGCGGTTGTGGGTATCGCCTCCGGTGGATCTCCCCATGGGGCCACGAAGCATGTGAAGGGTGTGCCGATTTGGGGAGGGGGCGCATGTGTACCCATTCGTCCTCATCCTCCTCTGTTCCTCTTCATCGTCATCATCATCTTCGTCCTGCCTTCTCGTCCTCCTCCCGCTCCTCCTTTCCCTCTGCGTCAGTAGTCTTCTTCATCCTCATTACGGTCGTCGTCGTCGTCGTCGTCGTCGTCGTCGTCGTCGTCGTCATATAACTGCTTCTGAGTATTTTGATCGTTGCAATGGTGTGTGCCGCAACCAGTGCGGCTCAAGTCTTTAATTTGTGCGGCTCCACGCAAAGTCTCGCCCACGCTTTCGGAGAGGTCGCGCGATATGGATCTCAGACCTTGGGAGCCTCCGTGGTGGCGAGGGCGGCGGCGCCGAGCTGCGGTGCGTGCTCGCCACAGCTCGCTTGCCCCGCCATCCCCGCGTGCGTCTGTGCGGGAGCGGGCGGCCTGGTACCTGAGCCCATTTGCGGAGGCCTGATCCTGGCTTGCTCCGCTGCGGCGCTGGTGTCAGGTTCCGTGTGCGGCCTGCTCGGAGGGCTCCTGCTGGCGAGGCGCCTCGTGCTGACGGCGGTCGACGTGCAGGAGCAGTCTTTCGAGGAGGTGGCCCGCGCCCAGGCGAAGGCCATCCGTGACAAGAAGACCGCTGGGCTCCGAGATGGCGCACCCTTTGCAATGCTGTCTGATCAGATATCGTGTCGGAGGTGCGGCGGTCTGGCACGAGCGCCTCACAGTGCTGCGTGGCCCTGGGCCGACGCACTTCGTCATCACCCCTGACGGCGACAGGTTCGAGGAGAGTGCGGTGCCCGACGCCGGCATCGCGGGCATCTCGATGCTGGTTGGCGAACGTCCACAAAGGGCTGCGGATCTACGGCTTCAGGGCGCTGCCGAGCGCTGCGGAGGTCTGGGCTGGCATCACGCAGGCGACGGCGCTCTTCGGGCTGCCGCGCCCGCCCTCGCGTCGCCGTGGGGCCTGTTTTGCTGGGCGACCCCGCGCCTGCGGCCGCTCCTCCGCCTGCTGCCGTGGCTGCGCCGCTGGGCGGCGCGCCCGCGGCCGCCGTTGGAGCGCCCGCAGGGGCCGCTGGCCTGGTGCCCGCAGGCGTGGGGGGCGGGGTGGCGCTCCCTGGCCTGGCCGCGGCCACGGGCGGCGCCGTGCCCGTAGCCGCGCCCGCCGCGGGCGTGCCAGCGCTGCCCGTCCTTCCGCTGCCCGCTGCGGCGGCGCCCGCTGCGCCTGCCGCGCCCGCCGCGGCGCGTGCGGCGCCGCCACCCGTGGCGGCCGCGGTTGGAGGGGGGCTCGGCCAATTCGGTTGTGGCTGTGGGGGCCGCCGCGGCAGCTTCGCCCGACCTCAGGGTCAACTGGATTGCGATCGACGAGAAGGGCGACCACTGGAGGGAGTTTCGTGACGGCACCAGCCTCCATCCGACTACGAACTGGAGGGGCTGGCCTGTCCGCGGGCCCCGCGCGGCCGTGCGTGTGTGCGTGTGTGTGTGTGTGTGTGTGTGTGTGTGTGTGTGTGTGTGTGTGTGCGCCCACATCCAGCGGCCGGCGGGGTCACCATCGGCGTGGCACGCCAAGTGGATGACGGAGTGGCGGGTGACTGAGGACGATCCTGCCACCAGGGAGCGCGCGTTCATCTGCCGCCTTCCGCCCGACAGGCAACGACGAGGAGGACATGGGTAAGGCGCGCGTGCTGGGCGACAGGGAGGAAAACAACTTGTTCCTGGGGGCCCAGGAGAGCAGGGGCAGCGTCTCCGCGTGCCCGCAGCTGAGCACCTGAATCGCTGACGAGTTGCAGGCGGAGGCTGCGGTGGCCAAGGGGCCCAGGACAGCCCGCGAAGAGCGGGCGTTGCGTCAGTAGCCCTACAGCCTCCCCATCCCTGTGGCAGGCCCCACGTGCTGAGGCTGCAGGTGATGCGGGGCCTGGAGCTTCGCAGCTTCACGCTGGCGCTCGACGATACCTGGTGTCAACGCAACATCCTTCCTCTGCCTCGACTTGCCGTGGACAGTCGGGAGTTTTGTGTTTATCGGCGTCCGCGTCAGCGATGTGATCGGGGTGCTGCCTGGCGTCAGTGGGCCAACGAGTGCACTGACAGCCTCGGCGAGTTGAGTGGCCAGCGCGGTGATCCTCGTGGAGTCAGCGCCCGACTTTGCGGGGGACTTGCCACGACAGTGCGCCCTCTCTCACACTGTCGAGTCCTTTCGATTTTTCCGTGGCCTGCGGACTTCCCCGTCGGCAGCAGCCGCCGTCGCGGTTGCCGCCTTGGATATCTGCTCGCAGCGCGCCTGGGCATTGAAATGACGGTGCCGTGGTTCGGCCTTGCGCCAGGGATCTCGCGCCCTGGCCCGTTGCGAGTGCGGCCCCGGCACCGCTGGATCAGCTTTAGCGCCTCCATTGACAAGCTGGGGTCGTGGACGAGTGTGTTGGTCTACAAGTCTTTGGCCGGCGCCAGGCGGAAGGGGTCTGGGCATGTCAAGCCGTTGGTAGATCGTCTTCTTCTTGGCTGCCTCGATTGCTACGCCGACTGTCTTCGTCGATCTGACGCGGCAGGGATGCTGGAGTTCCGTTCTCGTCGAGGGCGCCGGCAGCCCGCGGTGGGGGTGTTCTTCGTCACTAGGAAGGGCGGCGACCTCAGGATGGGATTTGACACTCGCATCGCCAATCTGTCGTTCGTGGAGCCAGCTGGCATGAAGCTGCCGACCAGTGCTTCGTAGGCAGGCGTGGAGGTTAGCCCCGACGTCATTGGCCACGTGGCATCGGGCGAAATCCGGTGCGCCGTCTACCGCGTGAAACTTCCTGAAGATCTGGCTCATGCGTTCGCCCTCTCGTGTCTTTCGAATATGGTTATGTGTCGTCACGGCTTCGCGCTCGCCCTCGACGTCGCGCCTGAGATCTCGGTGATGCAAATGGGCTGGAAGTGCGCCCTGCACTTTTGCTGGGGCGCTCTCGCCAACATTGTCTCCCGCGACGCGGGTGTGGAAGAGCGTCGCTTCATCGTGGACGGGGCGCCGTTCTTCTCGCTGCAGGCGTCGGCCGACTGGGCGGTCGCCGCCCGCGTCGACAATTTCCGTGCGGTCGGTGGGTCGGAGGAGGTGGCCGATCACATGCTGCAGCGTATTTCGGAGGCCATCGCTCGCCGCCGCTTGCCCGCGCGCGAAGTTTAGGGCGCTCGCGTCTCTATGATCTTTATTGGTCTCGAGTTCGACGGCGTAGAAGGTACCGCGCGTGTGCCGTGCTCTCGTCTCGTCAGGCTGCGTCTGGGTACCTGATCGGTGCTCCGCCGCGGCAAGATCTCTCCTCGGGCTCCTCCTACGCTGGTGGGCCCTCGCGTGGGCTATGTTGAGCAGGCGGGAGACGCTTGCGATCGTGCTAGCGACGTTCGCCCTCGCCCGTGGTGGGTCGTCGGCGCCAGCGAAGTGGTTGTGTGTGTGTGTGTCTTTTGATAGCTCCGCTGGGTACGGGCCGCTCTACCCTTGTGGGCCTCGTCATGGCGTCTTCCTTGGGCTGGTGATGTTGCGGCGTCGGACTCTTCGGACTATGGCGTAGGGGTCTGTCGTCGCCAACTTCCGATTCAGGTCGGTGCTGGCGTTGGGCGCCTGGCAGAGAAGGTATGGTACCAGTTCGCGGGCGGAATCGCGGCCCGTCGTCGTGCTCTGGGAGGCGCCTGCCAGGAGCACGAAGAGCCTCTTCCTCAGGGTCCAGTTCTAGGTCGTGGTCATGGGGGAGTGGATCTTCGCGGTCTTGAGGGGCATGGTGATCTTGCGGGCCTAGCCGACGTCGCCAACTTCGAAAGCTCGCTGGGCTGCAGCGCCGAGGTCCCCAGCATCGCGGAGGTGCCCCGAGAGATCCTCCGCAGTGCCGAATGGTAGATCGCCCACTCTAGCAGGGTTCCACATGCAAGGGGGGAATCTTGGAGTCTGAGTGGGAATGCCTTGGATTTCGCGTTTCGCTATCTGCTCAGCACGGGGTTCCTGCAAGGCCATCGCCTCCTCCTCTTCGTCGACGATATTGGCTCTAGCTCCCAGCGCGGGCCGGGGCCGCGGTCGCTCGGCCAGCCTCGCCAGGCCCCCGAGGCGCATCGCCTCGCTGCTGCTGGCCATGGGCTGCTGTGCCCGCGTGAGGTGGATCCCTTTGCGGAAGGGCTTCTTCGCGGGGCCGCCTAGGTGGCGCTGGCCGAGGCTTGGGGATGCAGGGTGCGAGGCGGAGGCTTCCGCGGGCCATGGCGCTGGCGCGCGGGCGGGTGCTGCCCCAGGCGCCGCTGTCCGCGCTGAAGGGCGGCCACCTGAGCCTCGTGGAGGCGGCCGCCCGCCCTCGCGGGCGCCGCGGCGAAGCGCTGCGCGGCCCGCGCGGCTCGACTCGTGAGCTGGTGCCGGCAGTGCGGCCTGTCGTGGGCCACCCCGCGGGGTTAGACGTGATCTAGACGGCCTTCCTGGCGCGCTGGGCCTTCGAGGGCCGCCGCGGACGGCTCTGCCGAGGGCTTGCAGGGCGCTGAGCGGCGGGGGGAAGTTGAAGCCGCCCTGCATGAGGCTGCCCATCCCTCGGCCAGCTGTGCTGGCGATCATCGGCGTGATGT